TTTGTCGTTACGTATTGATGCGGGGCCGAGCAGGTACGAGCGAGCGCGAAAACAGAAGCTTCTGCTTGACGGCAATAACGGCACGTTGTATAGGATAGGTAGTTACTTATCTTTCAAAATGCAAACTGACTTTTTTTGCACGCAATAACAATTGGTGATAATCAACATTATCTGCATAATATAACTTCTTCTCCTTCTTTCTTCCGCACGGTACACCTACGACCACGTGGTTGGGTAGCAGCATGATGAACACAAGTATATTGACGGCAGCCGGCAGCGATTGAAGCAGCTCATACGGAAGGTAACTTACACTCCGAGAATCGAAGTTCCAGATTTTCCGTGAGTTGATGTTAGTACCCGCAAAAGAGGGATTGTTCTCGCGTGGCAAATGGTGTGATTCATGGAAGCGGGATGTTGTGCGTGTTGGAAAAGAATCTACTCTGCCGATTCTTGGAAGGAAAGTTTATCGTACACGGATGTACAGTACGAGTTACTTATTTAATATATTTAGGTGCTGTTATCTTTGATTTTTTTTTATTGTTGGGAAACCACGTAGCCTATTGTTGCTATGAAGAAAATTATAACTGGAGATGTCGTACGATTCATGCCGCGTTGGGGAACAATGAAATATCTAGATTCGCTCAACCGAAAGTCATAATCACAATGCTATCACTCGAGGAGGTTCTGGGCTGTAGCTTGCTGCGAAATCTTCCGTATCCAATCCAAAACCGGGCAGACGTTTTGGATATATAGAAAATATGAGTTAACGATAACTGATATAGGGACCGGATGGTGAACCAACTATGATACTTGGTATCCAGACAGGATAACTTCCAGCCGCTGGCTCACGTTGTGGACAGCCACGAGTTGGGTTTACTTGTTCATGCAGCAGTTTCATGATCCGCCTCGAGTTGGCTTGACCCTCGAATTGGCTTGACTTTACGTACAAACAACACTTGTGGCTTTCGCTCCCACCACTTACATCAAATTCGTATCGGGCAGGGCAAGTCCATCCGTGCGTTCACTAGAGATCCGTCTCGACTGTGGACGCGAGGGGGCACGGATACCGGTGGGGTCCTGTTCATCTCTCTTTTTGCGTCCAGTATCACTCGGCGTATGATGGATGAGGGCTACATGGCATGATTCCAAAGGTTTGCCGCCGATACATATTTACTCTACGGACCACTCTATAATAATTCCCTGTGGCACCACTTGTACTTGTGGCTTCCGCTCAAGTATAGATACACCTAACATGCCAGGAATCCCTAGAAAGTGAACGCGCGCATGCCGGTACTTATACCTAGCAACATACAAAACGACACGGCACTTTGCTATGTATGTAATTCATCCTCTCAGTATATCCATAAACGTGCTCTAAGCCAATCATGGTTGCATCAATGGGGCGGGCGGGGCGGGAGCAGGAATTGTCATTGTTGTGTTTTCCCGTCTGATGATGATCCCCCAAAACGTGCGTTGCCAGTTCTCCAGTCTGTGTTTCCAAAAATGAGGGAAATTGCAGGTGCGAAATAATTCTACCCGCCGCCACAAAAAATTGATTCTCGGTACGGACGTACCGGTAACAAGCTTTAAAATTTCTGCATGATGGCTTTGGCGCTCGTCTAGAGCAAAAAAAAAACAAGGGGATGATAGGTGGGATGAGAACCGGAACCTGCTGCAACGGCCCCAACGGTTAATTGTACATAAGTGTGATGGATATTTAGCAGTAGGCTAAGTTTCTAGGGTGTCTATGAAATTTGGGGCCGATGGGTGAGAAGGAAAGCGGTAGTTGTGTGGACCCTTCTCGCCCTGTTGGGGTGGGGGAGTGGGGCTGGTGAGGGATATTGACAACCCACGAAAACGGGGATGTGGTCGCCTCATATATCTCTATCTACCCAGGTTTTCGTGATGGGGTTCTCGGAGCAGATAACGACCTGGCTCTTCATTAAAATCCTAGCCGGATGAATGAATGGCCCCGGCCCGGTAGGGGTTCGGTGATGTCAGAAGAGGAACTGGAATAACATCCTGTACGGTAACAATATGTCAGCTTAGCAGATCTCGGGATAGGATAAATGCTGGTACGAACTGTGACCAAGACATGTGACAGCCAATAGATATATTGGCGGCGACTTTCCGAGATATGGAGCAGCGAGTCACTGCGTATATTTGGCTTCGAGTTCAGGTCCGAGAACGATATCAACGGCGGGTCTCGCGAGGACAGTTCGAAAAAGCCGTCATCTATTGAACGGCCTATTTGTTCTTTTGAAACAGCATTCCATAGCGGGACAATAATCGGCGGTGCAAGGCCCGAGACGAGCCGGGAATCCCAATGGACTGGACCGTGGAAGGATGGATGGTCATAGTTAACTGTTGCTTCATGATTATGCCGAAGCTGGACCAGTACCGCTTCTCCAAAGGCACAGTTTCTTTACCTCATCAAGTATTAATGGTTTACCAAAGTTGTCCGTTCCAAGCACCAGAGTCTTATGCATACCCGGGGGGCAAGAATATAGCAAAGTAGTTGTGCGGTGAGTGGTTCATGCGTATCCGCACGTAAGGCTGAAATAAAAACGTCGGATCAAGCTGAACTACCTTGCATCATGTATGAGTTGTATGGGAAGTAAGGATGGTGCACCTAAGAGGAAAGAGATCTGCACCAAGTGGGTCATGAAAAACTATGAATATGTTGCATGGATATCCGGTGGCAAAGGCCGCACAACAGTCGCCACCACTCTCTTGTATATAGTTCGAGTCTTTCTTCTCTCTGTACCTTAAGTTTATACACACTGTTCTCCCCATATCGTAACAGAATATTACTTTTAGATGAAGACAGTGATAATTTATCGTAGGACACTCCATTCCCGACCACCTTCCAATATATGACATACAGAGGTTAGGAAACGCCCGTATCAACCATAAGATTAGTCATAGAGTATACATATGATATACGCGGCTTCGAACCTGGGTAATCATTAATGTTTTCTTACCAGGAATACCATTGTTTGTATTGAGGCAGACAGCAAGAGGTGTTTTGTTTGTTTGTTGTTTGTACCAACAGGCCACTCTGTAATAATGTTGGACCTGCTCTGGTAATGAAAGTTATAGTGAGCAATTAGTACTTGAGGTACTATTGTGAGAGCAGATACAATTGGCAGTATGAAATTAGTGAGATAGAGTTCGTTCCTGATCGTATACATGCCCGTGCACTGAACCACGGTCATGTATTTGGCCCGAGGACTGAATTGTCAATTACCCAAGTTCGAGACCGCGCGCATGAGCAACAAATACAGTGAATACTGGGGTTATAGGCCCGAGTTAAGTGAAAACATACACACCTACTTAAACGCATACCGACCTGAACACCCGAAGAAACGTCTAATCGTGACAAATTTATCTTAGGTAATGTCCGAGAAGCTGATGCCCATCGCCCAAAGTAGCCTTCGGCAGATAAGTCTGGTTCCTCATCACTCGTCAAGGCAAACAATCATGCCGTCATATGTAAGCGCATAGGAAGCGTTTTACTTTGCCGTACACTCAGTCCCTGCCATATAATATCACATTAAATCATTCTACCTCTATCCTTCCTCATAAATCGCGATTTTTGAGGGGTAATGGTTAGAAACTCAGGCAGGTGTTGAGTGATAACCCATGATCGACACTGTTGCTCTTGACTGCTCCCGCACACACACACTCTCTCGCGCTTCTTTATCATCCAGGCTCGATTCCTCATACAAAGTAACATCCATCTAGAACCATTTCTCACACTTTATAAGTACATTGCAAAGCCGAGTGATCGATGGCGCATCTCCGGACTATCGCCCTCTCCATGTTTTTTCAAGGATTTTTCTGATGTGTTACATTATGAAGCATTAGTTGGACTTTTGGACCTTTGGTCATTTGACCGTTTGACTGTTTAGCTGCTTAGCCGTTTGGTCATTTGACACTGACATCATGACCGCATCCGAAGAAACATGTAACTTCACAGCATGCTAGCAGGTCCAAAGGACGAAAGACGATTAACTCCATTGCAAGTCCAAAGGACCCAGGACCAACATTCACCCAAATACCCAAAGACCCTTAACTTCGCGCACACACAAAAGATCAACTTTTTCCGAAAGACTTGTCCTAAAGACTTAAAATTTCGGCTGCATACCCAAATACACCGTGTACATACTTCTGACTCCGTTCAAACTCTGCGATGACTTCTATGGTTTAGTCCAGAAAAAGTCATTGTTAACTACAAATTCCGTTAATAGGATAATCAGACAATACTTATACTGTATTCACTCGAACAAGAAGTACGCACCCGTAGTCTCGATTAGACTAGCGCACCCGATTGGGTAAGGTACACGCTTTATTAGTCTGGATTCGGTTGTGAGAGAGCCTGCGAGGTTTGAGACTAACACTTTATACGGAAATTAAAAAATGACGTGCTATTTTTAATTTTCGAATTTCTTGCCGTATACGGTAATTTTTTGACGCTAGCCAAATCAGGGGGTGTACCTCTTATTCGAGTGAATAACCTTGTGCAGAGACCAATAGATCCCCAAAATTTGAATTAAGCAGCGTTGCACTTATAGTGGCTTCCAAGACAGTATTCGGCGGTCTGCTTGGGCGTAGTTATTGGTATCATAGAACTGTTATAGAAAGGATAAAGCCTGAAAAACTGAAACCAGGTATCACAACTCTAGAATATAGTTATGTGTATAAATAATAAGCAACAGAGCCCTCTTTATCTTCTCACACGATGAGAATCAGTGCCACGCTCTATCTGGTAAAAGATGGCCCACTGTTGCGGTAAGGTGATAGTGAGGGCGATAGTCCGGAGACGCGCCGAGTGACCGATACAATATTGTGTGATACCTCATGATCCGCCCTATTTCCCTTCCCATTCCTTCTCCCCCAACCTCTAGTTTCCCTCATCTCACACCCGCCTTCCACCGCCTCATCCATTCCACTTGCTGCTTTGTAATTTTCAAAATCCGAGTGATCGCCATGAATCTGGTCTATTAGCTCAGTTGGTTAGAGTGTGGTGCTAATACATGTGTATCGCAACGCCAAGGTCACAGGTTCGACCCCTGTATGGATCAATCTTTTACATCTCGGGTGGTAGTGATAGTGGAGGTTTGTACTGTACTGAGATGGTGGAAGTAGCGGGCGGGGTAGAGGGGCCGCGGGCGGGTGGGTGGGGTGGGGAAAACAAACTACCGCTCTTAGCGAAGAAACATGTGGGGTTTTTATTTAGATGATATAATAGATATCCTACATATAGGCAGAAAAAGCTTTTTTTTTCTTTTCATGTGAACTTCCTTGGTCAGAGAGTTTTTAAACTTCACGCGATGCAGCCGGGCCGGGAGGGTTTAAGATCCCACGGCGAAAGAACTCAGTGCCTATTCTAAGTAGCTAGCAAGCTGTTTTGTGATCTGGAAGTTGAATGCCTCGTTTTTTTACCTTTCTTTATCGATACAATATACGGATGGAAATTCCAATGGGAATTTTTCACATTCCGAGATCCGCGCTGGTGTGCATGCCCTTTCCTCGAGCTGTCAAAAGGGACGTACGTACATATTTCGGTACCGGTGCCTGATTGTTGAGACTATACATTCTAGAGACCGTGGGTGGGAAGCGGATTTTTATTCCGTGAAATCTCCTGATGTAGGATTTTTCTCCTCTCATCAACACGGGTGGCTCCGAACCCTGAGCTGTCAAAAAACCCCCCGTGCCTGATTATCAAGTTCGATACTTGTAGTCTATCAGCAACTTTAGAAATTTGTGAGAGAACTCTTGGTCGTTACCACACAGCTTCTGGGTGGGGATCCGGATGATAGATCCACAGTTGATTACACTATCTAGTAATTAAACCAGTTCCCATCGGCGTGAGATATCGTGACACCTACCTCCCTTTCCTCCGCGATATCCCGTGCCAATGTTATCCCGTGCCAATGTTAGATGGTAATCCATTTTTTTTCGAATTCTTCTGCTGATGCCTGACACCGGACGCCGCCGCTACCGAAAGTGAAAGATAAGATATTGCACTTTTGAATTCTCGCCGGTCTGTTTCGGATCCAGAGTGAGTTTTCGTCGGTCTGCTGGTCGGAGTTTGCGCTCTTACTGTCCACGGGGAGTGCTGAATTTTCACCGGTCTATTTCGGAGACAGAATCCAGAAGAGATGACGTGACTTGCATGTGTTTAAATAAAAACAGATCGGGGTATATAACCATTCATCTATCGTTTGTCACATTACATTACAACAAAAAAAAAAAAAAATCATGCATGCAGGTAAAGTAACAACAATAATCCGTTACCGAAAAACCATGACCATGACATCGTACACAAACCCTAATTCCCTACACCAACAAGCAAACTTCACGCCGAAAGACAAACTCCCATATGCGTCCCAAATCCCGGTATCTAGCCATCTACACTTCTGCTCTATGGGGAACCCGAGGCCATCTCAGTCCCATACACCAATGTCATCCGACCACCCACCAGAGGCTTCCCCTCCTCCGAATCCGAATCTTCGAACCACCCGTTCCACGGCCACCATTTGTTCCACTGTGTCTCCACACCACAACATTCACCCTCCTCTTCGTACTCTACTTCGATCTCGTTCTTTGGTGTCTTCTCACCCCACATCAACCACTGCCATCCCACGGCAGCATCTTCACCCAGTACCCCAGACGCGCCTAGAAAGAACGGTAGTGTCCGACCCCACCATTCAAAGTGATCGTTGCCGTCTGGCCCGGCGATACCACCACCGCCGTATGGTGGATAATCGTAGTGGCCGAGCGGGTTTAGAAGGAGTGACATGGAGTAGAAGAAGTTTCCGCAAAACGCGGCGGCGAAGAGGGATATAGCTAGGCCGCTGGTTGAGCGTCGGCGGAAGTTCATAAGGAGCTGGGGTAGACGGGAGGTGAGGTAAAGGAAGGTTGAGAACCAGGATAAGACCCCGCCGAGATCACGCAGGGTATAGCCGGTGCTTGGAGATGGTTCGGTGGAGCTATTGATGATGGGGGAGGCACCGGCGAGGTGGAACATTAGGGATATGACGACAATGAGGGTGGAGGCGAGACTACGGCTTCGAACTCGCGTCACGGGCGCGACTTTTCTCCTGTTTTTGGCTTCCTGGTCTGAGTCGACGAGGTAAGAATCATCTGATCCATCGTCATCGTCGTCGATACTGTCGTCGTAGTGAACCGGGTGGCCGATGATCACGGTCGAGGAGCGGTTGATGGATGTGAAATAGAAGTATTGGCAGACTAAGACAATGTCTACTGCCACGTAATATAGAGCTGGGTGGAAGAACAGAGCGCGTCAGTGACCAATATACAGCTTCAAATAGAAAATAGAGATCCATTTGCTTACCAACAATCTGCTGAAACCACATCTGCCCAGTCCACAAAGCTCCTAGGAGGTTGCCTATCGGGTCAACAGCCACTCATCTCGCGCCAATAGGGAACATACAAACATCACCCGCCAGCCACACCGATAGAAACCCAAAGCTCAAGCCATCCACGGATCCCCGCCTATAGTTCTTCCAGATCTGAGGCATCTGTGCGAAGAGCCATGATGTGATAGAGAGCAGACCAGCGGTGGTCGAGGCGAGCGCCAGATACGATGGTATACAGGTCCCGAATTTCTGGGACAGGTAGGCTAAAACAGGGGTATCTGGTTCGCAGTAATCTGGTAGAATGTATGACAGCGGTGACAGCGGTGAAGACATGGTGAACGGGCCGTCGTTGTTGAGAGCGATGGAGTAGATAGAAGGGTAGGTAGGTTTAGAGCTGGAGGATATTCAACGGTCAAGTTAGCGTCCCCCGCATTATCAACAAAGAGAGTATCGGGTGCGAGAAGATCTCGTGGGCGCTCACCCTTACCCCCCTGTTTCTGCTAGATCTCGTCTCGTGCTGCAGGGTGTGGGCTGCTTCGACGCCGCGTGTTAGAGACTAGACAGTTACCACTACGTAAGTTGAAGCTCACAAGACCAATAATATTTCCTTTCTATTTGCAAACTCGAGCCCTTCATATATATGAAGAGGAGCAGATGGATGACGCGACAGAATGGGGCGGAAGAGAGGGGCTCATACGTGGGGGGTTGTGAGCTCCGAGGAGATGATGAGTGAGCGAGTGCGCGAGTGAGTGCGTGGAATGAGTGAGCGGTGAGTCTGCAGCAAAGAATGAGGGAGATGGGGAGGGGGGGGTGATTCAGGGAATGGAAATAGGGAGAGAGGGAGGGAGCGGAGATGGACGCTTGATTTCGATAGCGACGTCGCTCGCTGGCTGGGTGCAGACGTCCTGCCTGGCATGATTGATGTTGATGTTGCTCGGGGTTTCTCGCGCTGGTTGCTCAAGATAGATAAAGATAACCTTGTCCCTTGCTCGGGTAGCGCGTCACAGGGTGCAGGAACTGATAAGAACAACCCTAACCCCCCAAAATAACAAAATCAACTATCAGTTACCAAGATCTTCACCGATCCGATCGTGCAGCATTAGGATAAAGGTGGTTGCGGAGGTGCTGGATTGGGCGAGCCATCCTAGACAAATAGGATGCACTCTCTGCTTTCGGGCGATGATCTCCTTGCTGTCTGCTTCAACCCCTCCCTTTTCGGATGGGAAACGGCGAAAACAACTGTTCGAATTCGGATGCACTCAACCTCATGCAGCGCGATTACTTGCTGCCTCCTCCAACCACGGCGACAATATGCGAGCAGTGTTCCAGTTTACGCACTCTGCTGCGGGCAGAAGAAGCTGAGTTCTACGTCACTGCAGCTATCATTGGGCATTGGTACCGCCCCTTGGGCTGAATCAATTTCTCGGTTCTCCGGGCGAATGAAGCGAGCGGTTGCGGGATTACTACCGAATGGAAAGGATCTTCGGCATCTATACGGCAACTCTGTCGGTGCTATCAAAGTTGCGATAGAAAACCACGCACCATCACTCGAATGCGACCTGCATACGGAAGTATCATCCGCCCCCTATCTGCCCACGGCAGCTAGAAGATAAGGCATGGCCACTATTTTCGGCTCGTTTAACTTGCGTGCAGCACTAATGGTCGAGGGATATACGACCTTAAATTAAAAGCTTATATGGCACTATTAGGCCTGGTGTATGCGGAAGGGAACACAACTCAAGATCAAGTTCACAGACAAAGATCTGTTTGCGAGCTCGAGCCAAAGGGGTCCATATGATACCTCTTGAGATGTCAACTACCCATAGTAACGGCGTTCAAACCACCACAGGAGCCAGTTTTTCTGGTATGATGCTAAATTCGGTTCGGAATCGACTGTAAAGACAACGCGAAGCCTGTGGATAGAGGGAGGCCGGAGGCCGCCTTTGGAACATCCAATCTCCTTTTTTTTTACGTTCGACCAAACAATCTTTTCGATCTTTTTTTATCTCCCGCCACAACCACACGTAAGCAAGCTCCCATTTCATTAACTATCAACTAACAACCATTCCAATATTCGCACCCCGGACACTTTTGAGCAGAGTTGGCGCAATATCCGCAGCAGATTATTTGCAAAGGGCAAATACCTCATGGATATGTGATGCAGTTGAGGAACCCTCACGGAAGGACCTCCTTTACCATATTACTAATTCCGAGTTATGACGATAAACTTCTAAGCGGCACTGGCGTCAAAGATTAAAGCTGCCGGTATCTACAAGGAGATTCACCAACATTGGAATAAGAAACCTTTACGACTTCGACTGGTCGTGTGTACGCTAGAATTTTGGGAGGCTACATAAAGGCCTTCTTCTATTGCCAGAATTGATACAACTTCGAAACCGAATGTGCGGTCTTCACCTCCCGCTGCGCACTCCAAGGAAAAACATACTAGCAATCCTCGACACTATCTATTGTTACTTGAATCGATCTACGTTCTTGCCAAGCTGCTCAACTCCAAAGTACGAACAGAGGATGTAATTAATCTTTAGACGGCGACGAGCGAAGTTTTCGAGTCGATGTTCCTGTTGTACACTATCATTTCTGGGATAGCTATGCCTACATTTTCGCCTCCGTTCTATATCCGAGCCTAGAGAAGATTCTGGAAAGAATATCGGGTCGAGCGACAGAAATTGAAAGACGCT